CTGATGCTTTGTTGACCCATCATCACCCTGATCTCCTCCCTCTGTGGACTTGTACTGGGTTCTATAACAATATCACACTATTTCCTTCTTTGCTCCTAATGGACAGTCATAATTACTACAGCTGCTAGAGGGCTTTGTCACTTGAAAGAAAACGTTCTTTTTGGGCATTTGCCGAAATGACTGATGCACTTGTTTTTCTTGGGAGGACATTACCTTATGTTCACCAGCTACTCATTACTACTCTGCCATTTGGTAGCACAGAGTTTATACGTTCAGCGTTTTTGCTATAAAAAAAAAAAGACAATGCTTTGAGAGCGATAAGGTTGAACCAAAACAGTTAAGTTTCAGGCTGGAAACCCAAAATAATGAGCTGGTAAACTGCAGACTCGGGTAATAATTCTCAGTCAAACTACCCCTTTCACATCACACATAGTCAATTTATCCATTTTTATTATAAGAACATCAATTTTAGCTTCTTTATGTTACCCTGTTTTTCATAATACTATGATGCATACCATTTATATAATTAAGGATTATTCCCTAAAGAGATGAATGATATTATCTCTTTCGCAACATCAAAAGCTGAGTATTTTATGTTTAGATAAATGACATCCCTAGAGATAAAATGTACCATAAATTAAATACCATAAAGGACTATTAGCAAAGCTGTACTCCAATTATAGTGCTGCTATAATATGCGTTTACCAGGAGAGTCATGTTAGTAAGAGAACAATAAGAAAATCAGTGTGATCATCCTAGAAAGCAGTTAGATGTCATTAGTGAAGAAAAGGCAGGACTAACTGTGTGGATTCATTTGTGCTGAAACTGCCTCAGGGCCATTGCCTTGCAGCGGGGCAGTGAATGCGACATGCTTGCCTGATGAGTAAATCTGTCTGTCATTTTTATTCTTATGTCTTTCAATGCGCTCTCGTCCCTCATATTCTCCCCCCCCCCCCCTTTTTAAAAAGCATAAGCACTGTAATTTTAGACTCGGAAAATGTTTCCCAATTCAACTATGCCCTTTCTGTATCCACAGAAAGATCCATGTTTCCTCACATCTTGTCACGACAGCAGCTTGAATGTTTCAGCATCTCTGACTTTATTCTGTCACAATCTAGTGGTCAAACCTGACCAAAAGTCACATGTTCTGCACACTCACCTCTATGCTCGGTGATCTAAATGTAGCCAAAGGCATCTGGTGATGCTGCTGTATTGACTATGGTAAATAAAAGTTAAGATATGTGTCAACAAAATGGTAAAAGATTCATTTTGCTGTTAGTGGTATGCATTACTGTGTTTATGCTCTGCTACTGCTGTCTTTCTTCTGTCCCTTCTCCATTTGTCTTTGTCTTTCATTGACCACAGATAAATGTGTTCTTATGAAAAGTCTTTGAGGTGCAGATGGTGTTGATAATATAATTTTCCCTAATAATGGGAATAGAAGCAGAAGGTGAACAACAGATATATTTATCAGCAGAGAATCAATTGTATCCCCAGATACAATTGAGCTCCCAAACTTATGGCAAAGTGAGTGAAGAAGAAGCTGTGATTGGGTAATGAGGCCTGAGCGGTGTGGTAGAAAAGGCATTTAGAGTCAAGCAGACCGTTCCCGAAACGTCATAGTCTGAGAATATGGGCTGTGAGAATCAGCAGTATGTCCAAACAGAATGGATGTCTCCCACTCTGCATGTCCCCAGACACTTTCCGTCTCACAAAATCATTCGCACGAGCACATGCTCACACGCAGACGTTCAGCCACAGTAACTGTGCCAGTATAGCTCTCTGTCTGCCTTTCACAGATCCGGATTCAACAGTAGCGTTGCGCAAGCCTTGTGCACTGCGGTTAACTATCACTTTTCCACTGGCAGCAAAAGACTGGCCTCACATGCTTAATATGGAAACCGCTGGAAAAGTCAAGAAGCGAAGTGGGGAATTCATGACAATTTCAGGCCAGCTGTGGGAGCTTCGTGATGGCACAACATTATAGTGACAAATGCTTTACCATCATGATGAACACATCTTTAGGAGATGTGCCATGCCCTACGGGGTGCTAAATGAGGACATTACACATATACTCACACAAGTCACATTATGTTCACTTAATGTTCCTACATAGACTTGGTCCAGCACGCAAAAGCAGCCCAATATCTTCCTTATACATATTGAAATACAGAATGGAAACTGGAATATAGGTTCAATAAAACACTGGGAGCTGAGGCTGGTTTGGTTTAATCCCATTACACTGAGAGCCTGAGGCTTCTCTCCCCCTATTTATAGCACCCTGAGAGAGAGGAGGGCTGGCCTTCATGTACACAACATCACAGGCTTGTGTAACTGTGGCCGCGAGTGGCAAGGGACCCGACCAATCGCAGACAGGTCTTGCGTCAAATTTGATGTGACAAAATACACAATTGCCAGTCATCTGGGAAGACAACCGCCCTCATTCTCTATTCTCCAGACACATGCGCACTTTCTCGTTTGCCACATTTACCTTCTGTTCTTCTCCGCTCTCCTTATCTTCACACCTTCTCCCTGGTGTCAACATCCCTCGTCCCACCGGTTTGATGAAAAGGAATGGGCTCAGGGTTTGTCTTCTATTAAAGCAGCAGTGTCTATGTGCAGGGGAGCACTCACTTCTCCTCAGTCTACTGCTGCTGCTGTTAAACCAAGATGTTTCACCAGTATTTTCTGGTAGTCGAACTGAGGACAAAAATTCTTGGATTGATACAGCTGAATTTAGGCACTTTCCAATATGTGCCTTAAGAGTATGCTGATGCAAACATGCATGAAGATTAGGTACTCTTGCTCGTGGGACACTTTGAAACTTTTTCTAGGCGCTGTCAGTACTGTGGATTGCACCAGCGACCTTTCAAGTTCTTAAAAAATGCCAACAACAAAAAAGAGAGGCTCGGGAGAAAAGCTGCATGGAGTGAGAGAAGACTGAGTTCTGATCTTCTTTAGGGAATCCTCCAATCCACACACGTAATCACACAATAAACCCCTTGATACACACACAACAGAAATGGGGGAGAGAATATGGAAAAAAGATAAAGAGCCCTCATAGGCCTCCTTTGTGTTAATTACTTTGCCTTCGTCGGGGGTAAAATATACCTCCCAGCCTGTGTCAGCATTATGAGAAATCTCGTCCAGGCATAGTGTAAAATGGAGGATGTTACTTTAAACTCTGGCTGTGGACTTGGCTCAAGAAAAAAGAAAAAAACATGCAATCTTCAGAAACATCAAACTCAAACTGAAAAGTAGAGCATCAAATGAAAATACCATCTTGAACCCTCAGGCCATGCTTTTCCCTTCTCTCTGCCCTCCAACAGCCTGGATGTTGTTAATGTGTGAACATGACCTATGGGCCCACTACTCTGACAAGACAGGTTATGCTCATACATTGATCTAGCAGAAGTCAGGAGCTGGAACAGCGACTCTTTTTCTAACAGAGGAAACAGAGGTATGCCTCTCCTGTACACCACACCTTCAGTCGGCTATAAATCACAAGCTGCTTCATGCATTATGTAAAGTTCTCAAGTGTTCCCACAAACCTTGTTGCTGCTGCACAGATTGCGAGTGTTATTTTTTTATATGTTCCTCACACAAACCTATTGCATCTGTTTTCGTGGGTTTCTGAATCGTTCTGTTTCACTGGCAATAAATTTTCTTTTGACAGGAAGCAACACTCATAATGCATTCCTTTGCACAAGCCCCATCTGGCATCAACATATGACCAGCAACATACAGTAAAAACATGCGGTAGTGTGCACACATGCACATGTACCACCCCTGCATGTTTAATCATTTCATATTAATAGGAATAATACATGAAACGTTAAGCCACCACTGTGTCACATATTTTGGAAGAATTTCAATTAAACAATTTGGGGTAGTTGAAGAATTACCTCCTCCTCTATAGGCTGAGAAAATTCTCCAAACTCAAAATCACAATCTTCTGATGCCATCTTTTTTGTTAGTTCTAGCACACAAGCAGTGGTGGAACTAAGATAATTTACTCAAGTACTGCTTTGGATTTACTTTTCTATTTTATGCTACTTAATTCTTCTTCTCTACATTTCAGAGGGATATATTGTTCTTTTTACTTCACTACATTTGTTTGACAGCTGGAGTTACTAGTTTCTTTATAAATGAAGATTTTACTCAAAAAAACCCACAACATTATCTCATAACATTTAATTTCACTCACGTACTGGTATAGATTAAACTACCCAACAGTATATAAATTCATCAGAATCAGCTCCATCTTGACCAGCTTCAACAGTAAAATGCTGCATACGCATTCATTCATCAGTAATGATTATAGTATAAGCCATGATTGGCCATATGTAGCCATTTTTCTGCATTAAGTACTTTTACTTTTAATACTTAAAGTGTATTTTATTGATAATACTTTCATACTTTTACTTCAGAATAAAATTTGACTGCAGGACTTTTACTTGTAATGAAGTATGTTTACATTATGGTACATTTATCCAAGTAAAGGATCAGAGAAACTATCACTACTGATGTGACACAAAGGTTTTCAGCCAACAGCAGCTCAAATGACAATGAATATTTGCTGGCTGATTTGGTTTTCTGCTTTCTAAATTAGCACACTATGAAATATTTAGTGGCACATTTAGCAAGCCCCTATGCTGTTATTGTTTTGATAGCAACTGAATATTATTTGCTGTTGTTTGCAGCAGTTTTCCAATCAATCTCACACAACAGCAGTGGAGCTGAGTCAGACCAAGAATGGGCAAAACAATAAAACATTTCTTGCTATATTTCTGTCTTGTACTCTGTCAACACTCTGTTATCATAAAATGATATATAGGCAGCTTTTATGAGTATTGTTTATAATGTGACCTGAATAGCAATAAAGGTCTGAACAAAGCTTTAGGTTGTATGTGCTGGGACTGAGCCACAGTGTACAGTAAGTAAGTCTGTGACATGATAAGCCACTATTAAGGCCATCTGTCCCTCTTCTCTCTTCTCAGGACTGACTGTCTTTCATAATCATCCAGTGAAGCTGACACTCTGCCAGTCTTTTTTTGGGCAAGAACACTGACTGGGGCAGGAGGTCTAGAAGTGATACCTCAGATGAGACGTTGGCATCAGCAATGGCGCAGCAGACAGTTAAATGAGCTGATGCAATCTTCATCTATGTCTCTCTGTGGCAATCGTGGTTTCCAGTGCGCTCCTTTATCCTTTTCAGCTCTGTTTTGTTGTGAGAACTATAGTTAGGCTCTCTCCACACTCCCCTGATATGTCTTACATTAGTCCGACATGGTGCTCTGCTTGACAGGTGTATGCTTTTTGTTCTTTCTGCTCTACTGTGTGTGTGTGTGTGTGTGTGTGTGTGTGTGTGTGTGTGTGTGTGTGTGTGTGTGTGTGTGTGCGCCGCTGCGCAGACACACAGCTGACAGAGGGTTTGTCAGTCTCAGTCACTCAGATAGATCTGTGCGAAGACAGCAGCCTAAAGCACATTTCAGCAGGGTCATCCTCTCACGTCACTCTGTGCCACGACATCAGAGGCCGCCAATTGCATCTGGTGGTCTGCCTCACCTACTGGGATGCAAATTGGACACAGTATCCTTATTCCCACGTCTACCTTGTAAGGACATCTCACCCAGAATGAGCATCGTAGAGGAGTTTTCTCTCAAGCAGAACTGTTTGCTGAGAGGTGAAAGACAACCACTTATTTTGAAAGTGAATAAACCCCACAATTTGACATTTAAATTTTGCCTAGTCTCAGTCTTCTTGGTTTGAATTGGGTGACTTGATTACACTAAAAAGGGGTTTTCTTTTAGTTCCTCCTAGTGCCTGTGGGCTTGAAGAATAAATTACTATTACTACAACTAAAAAGCTTAAATTTGTGTCAGAAGAAAAATAAATCCAAGGAAAAGTGAGGAGGATGATTTTTTGTGTGTATTTTTATCTCACAGCATAATTATTAAAGGCCGTTCTTTGATGCACAGGTCTGTCTGAACTCACTATTGAATGATTGCCAGCCATATGATGAAGGTGTTTGTGGCTTCTCTGCCTGTGAGGTCAGTGATTTTTCAAGTAACGACTGGAGCATGAAGAATGAAAAATAAGCCTTAAGGAGCAGAATATAGGAAGAGATGTGGCACTGCACGGTCAGTGGTGGACAGTTAATTCTACCACTGGAGATATGAAGGTTTGAGTTTCAGATATGGCTTCGAGGGGGGAGAGACTCTGCAAGCAGCTGATGATTTCAGTGGACAAGAGAGGGAGAGTGGGACGAAATGATAGATTTATGAAAGAGAAACTGTGTGCTTAATGCCGTTGTAAGCAAGAACAAGACTATCAGAGAGAATCTCCGAAACTACAGGGAGCCAGCAAGACGGGCCACACAATAAAGAGACAAAGCGGAGAACAGAAATAGAGATGGAATCAATACTCCTCATTTAGACTGGGGTGAAATGAAGTACTGGGAGGCTAAATGATCAAAAAGAGAGAAAAGCAGCAATAAAACAGCAATTTTTACAGATAAAAGAGTGACTCAAACAATATTATTAGATCAGAAAAGATTTTAAAAAACAGTCAGCATGAGGCTTCCCGCAATCACACTGGACATCTTGAGAGAGGCAGAGGAAAGGCAGAAAGTTCCATGATGGTGATTTAATGATATGAAAAGGAGTGTTGTTATGGACCAAATCTAAGCAGACTAGTTGCACCAAACTGGAAGATATTTGTGGGTAACAGGTGGACTTATTGAGCAACTTGGATTTTTGATGCCGTGGCTCACTTTGTTTTCTCTTGCTGGGATCCTTGCCCAGCCACACTTGTCAAAAACAAAAAAACAAATGACTAGTGTATCGCTACTTTAAGAGGATTCAGTGTGAAATTAATTAAAATGCAAAGATGCCAAGATTTCCAGTCGATTCACGAAGCAAACTGACTGTGCTTAATGTGGTTACCAGTGGCCTGAGTATCTGAGGAGCCTGTGAGAGCCTATTGAGTCCTACAATGAGACACAGTGACGAGCAGAGAACAAACACAAAGAGGGACCTTGGACGAGAGCTGTACAAATTGAAGCAAAAAAATAATAATGTTTGGTGTCATTGCTAAAAAAGTCTCAGAGGGATTTTACCTGAGGTCTCTTGGATCTGCCTCAGCCATCCAATAGCGAGCGCCGTTCCAGTACATGAACTGCCTCCAGATACTAATTAGCGCTGTGAGAAGTGAGAGAGCACAATGTATTCACAGAAGAGCGCAATCTGTAGCTTAAACAGATGGTTCCACTACACAAATGAGATAAGAGGTCTATTACTTAACGCCATTAAAACACATTTGTTGGGATATTCCTCAATGCTCTTTGGTTGAGATTTTTTGATTCTAGAATGGAGAAATGTGTGATTAACAACAAAATACAGGTGTTGCAGTAATTTACTGGAGCTGTACCTCATTATGAACTAAATTATTGTGGCAGCCAGCCAGTTAGACAGGCGAAAGAGCAGCTCCAGCTTACAAATCAGCCCTGGATCCTTGCTTGGGGAAAAAGGTGTAAAGAATGCATGAAGTGGTAAGTGACGGAATGAGGGAGGCTTTGGTTTAAAATTGTTGCAGAGGAGTGAACAGGAAACCGGCTCTATGTTGTGATTAAACTATTTGCAGACTGCAGTCATTGAACAGAGCTTTATCACAGTAATATTCACTTTTTCACCACATAAGCATACATGTCATGATGCACATTCAGTGGGATCTGCTACATACTGACAAATTATACAGTCAAGCCCGTCAAGTGCCTGTAGGCTTTGCCTTCTTTGGGTAAATGAAATCTATTCTACAAATGCACAAAACAAGTAACCATAGCAACAGAATTGCAGGAAGAGCTGTTACTTGTTCAGTGTCAGTCATTCATTTTCGTGTTGGAACTTCCCAGAGCGTATTGAGCATGGGACCTGATGACTGATACGTTCATATTAGCATCCTCTGACAAAAGGACTGACAAAAGACACCGGGGGTGGGAAGAGGAGGCAGACTTGACACTCTTGGGGGGGGAGCTGATTGCCACTAAGACTGCCATTTTGTAGGATACAACATAGAGACAAAAATAGACTAGTGGAAACAGTCACAAACAAAGATACTTCAAACAATTATGCAAAACAACACCCAGAATCCCTCTTGTATGCTATCCATCCCAAGAATGGTGACGGTTGGGAGTGCTTCATTTTTTAAAAGCAAGGGTATTGGTACAATCGGTTTTGTCTCTGAACCATGTCCAAAACTATTTCACCATTAGCTCTCAGGCTGATGGATCTTTCGAACCACCAGATGAGGTCTTGACCGTCTCAATGATCAGTGATTGAACGGTCTGCCTTCATGAGGCAGGAAGGTCATCCGCTGGTTCAATCAGTGACCAACGCATCAAAGAACAATTACTTTTTCCACTCTCCAACAACAAAGCCACTTATTGTTCTGTAACAAACATTACATTTTACAATTTATTTCTTCTTTTGATCTTACAATATCTGACTAAGCTAAAAACATTGAATATTGATCCTGACTATATATACAGAAATCTCTGCAGGATAGTATTCATCAATTCATATGTACATTTTTTCTCAGAACGGTTGGTGACCAGTGCTTGTTTAGTAACTTGGACCCATGAACATTGTCATTTCAAGAAGGAACTCAATAACTCCTAGTTACTGTCTTTTTCCATATCTCAGAGTTTGCTGTAGTGATTTTCCTAGACAATGAGTGCATGAAAATAAGAGCATTCACAACAGTAGTGACAGCAGATGTGCGTGCAGCTGCCTTCAGTAGGCCAAACTCAATGCAAGTTAGCCTTGAGCTAAAACCACAGAGCTTCTGGCGCCACATAGATGTTCATAAAGCCTGATAAATCCAGTGTGAAGATAAGGCCAACTCAAAGCATTCTTTATTCAGACATAAGTAAGGAGGCTCTAATATACAGTCGCTCTAATATGTGAAAAGAATGAATATAATATCAACACAACGGAAATCCCTCTGGCCTCCCACTGATATGAAAACAGATAAAACAAGGCCTATTGCAATCTATATGGACTACAGGTCAGACACTAACCTGTGCATAGCCCACTCATGAATACCTCCACACACATACACACACTGCGCACGCTACAGTTTACCACTACTCATGACACACAACATTTATCCACCAGCCTCCATTCCTCCATGCACCCTCCTTCCTGTCCAGTGTGTAGTACAAACACCCACAGATAGTACACATCACCTCATGGATTTTCTAAGGCGCATACACGCACATGAACACACACACACGGTTGGAGTCAGTTTGGTGTGCTCTCAGAACTGAGCTTGTCGGAATCAAATTATCTCTCTCTCTCTCTCTCTCTCTCTGGCCTCTCATGGTTTGCCGCCCACAGAAGGAGAAGGGCAGGCAGAGTCAGTCCCAATGCACTAAAGATTGGACTGCCTCAGAGCGTGTCCTGAGGACTAAAATACAAATCAGCCCTTCCTCCAGTCAGCTGGAGTTGGCCTTTCTCCCAGGGGCCTGCCGGGAAGGCCGTCTGTGGCATTAAAAAAACTAGAAGAAAGAAAACAAATAATAACAGGAGTAAAAAAATAAAAGAATAAAAATATAAGACCCCAACAGTCCCCTGGAGACCCAGCACACTCTCAGGGATGTGTTATTAGTCTGATAATTACCCTGTTTAATGTGTTGCTCTTGTGCAAGAAGCACGTTTGGGCTTCATCAGTGACGGGGTGAGGGTGAGGGAGATTATAAAGGAGTCAGAAACAGTCCAACATGTAAACTAACTCTTTCACTTGCAGGAACATGTGGGGATTTCAGGTCACACAAAGGACAGAGTGGAAGAGGGAACAACTTGGAAAACCAACATTTATGGCCTTGATTTTCTCTCTCAGCGATACCCCCTTTTTCCGAACATGTGAAAAACAACTTAAATGAGTCATGTAAACAGCCAAACTAACCCATGCAGGCTGTAAATGTTATGACGGTCTTTCAAAATGTACATGGAGGAGCAGCTGTTAACCAATAAAAACAAGCAGGCACTGCATTAACAGTGTCTTCTTAAGGGGATAAATAGAGCCATTGTTGAGTAAGGACAAAGTAATGGTATCAAAATTGTATTGTTCCATGACTCACTTAATGAAATGCTTTTAATCCAATCTGCTTGATTAACATGCATCGTGTAAGTTGATTGAAGTGCTGAAAGAGTTGTTAGTTGGTGGGGTTTATAAAACCATAGAGAGTGTCTTTTCAACCCAGCAGCCCCCCCACCTCATCCACTGGGGTCAGAGGTCAGGATCACACCCTTTGAGTTTAAAGACTCACTGCCTTGCTAAAGGGCACTTCAGCAGGGTGCATACTAGTAAACAAGGGGCTTTAACTTTTTGTCCTCAGAACACTGGGACCCCAAATCTCCCTCTGCAAGCAAGCTGAGGAAGGCCTGGACTGGAGTGGACACTATGGCAATATCTCATTACTGTATGCTCAAGCGCACCCACTAGACCTTTGGTGCCATTAAAACGACTGTGCCTTGTGTCCCTTATCAACTCCGTGTAACATGTGGACGCTCTTAAAATGTTACTGGCATTTACAGTTGCTGCTCTTGCATTTCGAGTGGGCGGGCTGGTTTGCGCTTCATACCCATCTGACAGTCTATCCAAAGACGCATAACGCATCAGCACCGAAAACCCACGCGTCCCGCCTCCCAATAGAGAGCGCTTCATATCAGTTAACCCTTCAGGCACACTGCGTTATTACGCACTCATTAAAATGCCCCCCTTCCACCTCCCCTCCCGTTTACGCATATGCCTTGTGGGCTGTCATGGGCTATTATTGGGATGTTTGGAATGCACACCCTTCTCTCGCCTACCGTTTATTCCCGACACAATTTCCGATGGATGTGTTTGTGGTCCCGTGGAAGGAGGATGGCCAGGACATCCGAGACTTTTTCAGTCCTGGTCTGTCG